GAGCCAAAGGTCTTCAACAGAAGTTTTCTCCTGTTGATGTACAACCAACATTCACTTACAACACAAGCACATTGGAATGTGTTTCCTTCACATAAACTCTTTGGGATATTCATCAGAACTATTTAGAATAAGTACTAGCATGATTTCTGAAGCAGTTTTATGGAGTCTACAAATACCACAGTGTTGACTGTTTACACATTCTGTTTTCTGCTGTTGCTGTAAGCCATGAATGCAAAAGGCCTGGTCACCCAGCAAACAAAGGATACAGACTGGAGAAGTGCCAGGGAAATGAAAAGGTTTTATATTCTTTGCAAGAACATTTGAGTCACTTGGCCTACTAAAGTGTTTGAGGTGCATTCACTGTTGATTGCATTTGTTTTCCAGGCTCACTGCCACTACATTGCAGTGAAAAACTTTGCAGAAACTGTGGAAAAACTCGAGACCAAGGCTGGCATCCAGAAGATTATGAAACATCTCTGTGACCTCTTTGCACTACATGGGATCTTCTCAAATACAGGAGCCTTCTTACATGACGGATACACATCTGCAGCTCAAATGGACATGGTCACAGCATCCTACCTGGACCTCCTGGCTGTCATTCGGTGAGCTGCTTTGGCAGGACACTCACAGCTATCCAGTTTATCCCTATGCTAGATATAAAAGGGTGCTGCTGTACCTATGGCAACATCTCCACAGTCAATTCACCTCATTCAGTTTTTATTTCCATTGCCTGGCAGCACTAGAAATTGATTGAAACATCTACTCAGAGCTTGTTTTCATGGCAGAAGAGACCCAAGTGTCCAGCTCCTCTGTAATCTCTGAAGTTCTGTAACATGAAATCTTAAATTATAAATGAAGAAGTCATGAACACTTTCTACCATCTGCAGTAGAGTGAAAGCAGGAAAATACGTAGTCAGAGCACACTGGCAGGAGGCAGCCACAGCAACCCATCACACATTGCAAAATCTGCTTAAGCCACAGCTAATACAACCTACTCTGTTGCCATGGCTGAGCTGCAACTGGTACCCAAACAATCCTGCCTACAGCTACTTCAGATGCATCTGCTTGACACCATTTATCACCAACTCTGTGAATTCTGAGTTAAGATTTTCACTTACCACAACACTCACAGAGGCTTCTTGACAAAGGGTTCAGCTTTCACTACTCAGTGCTGTTTGTTTAGAATATACAAACTTAGAGTGCAGAGGAGTTGCTACTGTATGTAAAATTCTACCTAAGCCACCTGAAGAAAAACAACAACACACTATAAGCAAGGGCTGAACAGGTCTGAACCAAACAGCAAGAGTTTTCAGAACTGACAGCAGAATCTGAATTAAATTGTAAGTTTAACATAACATTTTCAAAAGCCTAACATGTTGTCTTTGAAATTCATTGCAATTTCTGTGTTAGTCCATGCCTTGCTAACAGGACTCAAGAATTGATGTTTTAAATATTTACAGTTAGTAGAAAAGATATAACCACTTCCTGGTCTGTAGCAAAAACCCAGCCTTTCCCAAACCCTCAGACTGCTCTTCCCCAAAAGGAACTAGAAGATGGAAATGCCAACATTTGAGCAAACCACTTTGCATCCTGGTACCTCAACTTCCTACACCCAGGATGATGGGAGGATGAGGAAAAAGAAACCATCTCCTGCTTAGAAGATGCTGCCTGTGCTCCAGCTCTCCATGCTGTCAGACTGGCCCCTGGGCTAGATGGGCCCTTGGATGGGTTAGGGTTGTTTTGCTCTTACAGACATGAATAGAAGAGCTCAACACCTCGTGATGAGATAATAGAAATTCTGAAAGGTAGATGAAGGTTGGAGATCAGCAAAGCAACTTCACATCAATCTAGTAGGAAACTTATTCCATTTTATAAGACACACATACAGCATAAAAAAAAAAGTAAAAATAACGAACTGGCAGAGACTACTGAGAAAAAATCTGACATGAGATTGAGTCCTGAATTGGGGATGGAGCCTGGGTGATTACAAGACCCTGCAAACACCCACTCAGCTGTGCAAACAACTCAAGGCATTAGTAGAACTTCACAGATTCACAAAATCATTAGGGCTGAAAGGGACCTCTGGAGATCATCTAGTCCAATCTCCCTGCCAAGGCAGGGTCACCTAGAGCAGCATTTCCCCCCTCCAGTAAAGAAAAGGAGGAAAACTGGCACAAGCCTTCCAGGAGAAACCTGGGAAACTGACTTCCAAGTTCATCTTTGATTTATTTTCCCATCTTGCAAAGCAGTACCCTCTCAGTAACAGGAATGTCACTCCTGTGCTCTGTAGGAAGGATGCTGTGCCATTGGTAGATGCTTTTGACTTCACGGACAAGAGCCTGAACTCTGCGCTTGGCAGCTACGACGGGCAGGTTTACCAGCGGCTCTACGAGTGGGCTCAGAAGTCACCCACCAACCAGGTAGGGATGAATTACAGCTGGGCAACTTCCACAGCAGCCAGGGCAGAAATTCCTTTTCTTCTAACAAAAGCAATACAGACAGAAAAGAGATGAGCATTTAATTCTTTGTATCACTGATTTGTATTACATTGTACAGAATAAGCTAAAATAAAAGTCTGTTCACATATTATAGAACAGCACTAAATACAGGGTGTTTTCTATACACTGATACTTTTACTAATGCAAAACTTGGGATTTTAAATATGTCTAACCAGAAAGATTGTAAGTGTTAAACAAGGCAATTTGATCCTTCAGAGTCTTTAACACCTTGCTTTCTCAATTCATCCATACTGTGCAGTAATGTAAAATTCTGTGTGATGTAAATATGTATTGCTCTGTTTGAAAACTCATTTGGCCTTGAGTGAGATTTTTACTGTGGTAATCAGTATTCCTTTGAAATTCCAGAGCTGAATACAAAATTTACCTTCAGCAAACATTCAAGTCAAATCATATTTTCTGAGTTTAAATAGTATGCTGTCCCCTTTGGGATGAGTGTGGTGTGCTGGTTATGAAGTACAATACATATTATAGGGAAAATGATCTTGCACATAGTTGAAGTAGCTGGTAGTTTGTTGGTTGTTTTTAAGTAGTGCAGCTTTATGTATTTCAGAGATTGTTCTTAAAAATTATAGCCTTTCTCTTCTTAATTGCCATTAATTTCCTTCCTCATTCTCTTTCTGAACAGATGAGCCCAGCCTACGAGAGGTATTTGAAGCCACTTCTGCACAACACACTATCGAAATTATGAAGACCATGTTCCAAGTGAAGGGCACACATTTCCTTCTGTTCTTTGTGCAGCAGTACATTTTTGAAGCATCAGTAATGACTAATCAGAATTAATAATCAGTTGCTTATTTGCAGTTACAACAAGTATGAAAGATTCTCAGCCAGCCATTTGCAATTAGACAGATGCCAACAGCGCTGAGTGGTACCTGCTGCTGTGAGACAATCTAATCAGGAATGGTCCAGGTTTTCTATCCTGAAGTGTCTTGACAGCATCAAAACTCTCATTTGGCTTTCTTACTCTCTTTCTAAAGCCACTATATGGTGATTGAGAGAAAAAAAAACATCACCACACTGTGAAACCCTCTCTCAGTGTGTTGTAACTATATAGTGACTTCAGAAACCCAAAACAACCAACTTTACTGAAAAATCCATGGTGAAATAATGATCTTAGGAACAAGCTGTTCTCTTCAATCAGAAAGTATATTTGAAAGTGCATCTGTTTTGACAATTAAAATAGCTCTTGATTTGCTCAGTACTGGAATATTCCTGCCTAATGAAGATGCAGACAAAGCTGATGCCAGCTCCAGTCTGCAGAATTTACCTTCCCATTAATAGAGCTGCTCATACTGTCTTTCTATAAATCTTTAGCTCCAATAAGGTGTATTATTTTGAATACTTCTTCTCTAATTATTATACTTCATAATTATGGAAAGGGCAGGCTGATCCAGGCCAGTCATTAATTTGCTCATAAATGAAGTGTTGCAAAGAACATCTTGTGATTATAACTCAATGCCAGTTAACATGGAAATTTCTTACCACGTGTTGCAAGAAAGAAACTTTTCCTGAGCTTCATCAGTTCTGCTTCTCTTCCCTCCTTGACAGCAAGAATAAAGCTCTCACTGCTGCCTCTTATTACATAAATCAAAAACCTGCAATGTATGAACAGGAAGAGACAAAATACGACAGAAGTACCCCCTGAGACAGGCCTTTAGAGCTAGATATGGGATGGAAAGCTCCCACCTACTTGGGACAAGAACTTCATGGGAGAACAGAATCCACTCCACAAAACAGGTACCAACTCCCTCACTCCCAGCTGCAATCAAGTTAGAACATATCCAGAAAGTCTATTAATAACTATAACAAAGGGACCAGGATGAGTAGAAACGTCTTTATGAAACTGAGTAAAGCCACAGAATTTGACTTGAACATCACCAGAAAAAGCATTCTGTGGTTAAAATTATATACAAAGTCACTACATGAAGTGCTGACAAACCAGGCAACTCTATTAGCAGCTTGAAGTATTTGGGCTCTGTGTTCCCTCCATTCCTACCCCCTTAGCCAGTACAAATATTTGCCATCTTTCTATCAATCTAAAGCAGTTTTCAGAACACAAGCTTTGTCTATATCCTTTTGAATCAACTGATTAACATAAAAAGGAACAAATTACATCATTAATGGAAGAAACCAGGGCCCTACCAGAACACCCAAACTACTCTGCAGCACAAAAAAACAGGATTTGGGTGGGAGGTTTTTTGTTTGGTTTGGTTTGGCTTTTTTAAGTATGAGAGCTCTAAAAGACAAAAAGAAAATACAAAACAGTATTCTGTATTTCACATTTTTATTAGCTTCTTCTGGCAGGCATTACACTTGGGAATAATATTGCACCAGGCATTAAAAATATGAATTCTACCACAGGGACATTTTGCATTTAGAATCCAATATAAATATGTGTAATCATATTTCCATGGCTACAGATAGTATTTGGTTGCTTGATTTATATGCATAGAAAGAAACAGTTGTCATAACTGTAAGAAACTGTACTTATCAAGTACTTTTAAAGGGTGGGATTTGTTTTCCTAAAATATTACAATACTGTTTATTGATTTAGAAACTAAATTAGTCTACACAATAGCAGCTTCTCCCCAACTGCATTTTAAAATCTTTTTTGTTTCTTGCTCCCAGTGTCATAGCATTAGATGGATTAGAAACCATTTAAACAAGAGGTAATTTTAGCACTTTTGAGTCGAGTCAGAGAATTGTGTTAATGACACAAAATACCCTATTGTACTGATTCTTAGGACTCCCTCTTTCAAACAAAAAGGTGTCTTCACTTGAACAGGCACATGCACGGTTTTTTTTCTGAACTGGACAATAGAACAGAGCTGCTAGAGAATGAAACTCCTCCAGTCCTCACTGATAAACAATAAATAGTCATATAAAAAAAGCCCATATTGTTGCTTTAGTCAAAATCCAGACTCTCTTGGGTTTACTGTCCAATTAAGTTGCTAATCACTGAAGTGGCTCCTGTGGAGTCAGAATCAGTCATCTGTTTTCCGTGCCAGTCTACAGAAAGTCCAGTTATGCTCCACTGTGTTTTCATTGGCACGCTCGCTCATGTGATGGACTCTGGTGTTCCTGATCGTGAAGCCTTGCTTTGTGATGTACTCCATGAGATGCACTCGGAGCGACACTTCCTGGTGGTAATCACATGGCCCAAAGGTGAAGGACACCTGGCAGTCCCTGGTGTCCATCATGTGCTTATTCCACTTGGTGAAGTGGTTTGAAATGCCTTCCAATAGTGCATGGACTTTCGTCGTGATGGTGAGCTGCGTGATGATCACAGCCACCGGGTTGGAGTACTTGGAAAGTTTCCGGGTGCTGGACAGCTCCACCACCTCTTCAAAGGTATCCACAGGATACAGCGGCTTGGGGTCATTAAGACACTGAATTAAGGGTTCAATCTGATAGAAGTCCGCTTCCTTCCGGAGCAGGTCAAACTCCTTGAAGTCCAGTGGCAAAGTGAGCTCTGAGGTCCTTAAAAAGTTAAGAACATAACGGAAAAGTGGTCCATCTCTGTCAATAAAGTAATTGCCCTGAGAGTCCCTGGCAGTGGGGAAGTCTCCCCTGAACATGGCCCCGAGCATTGAGTCAGGATATCTCGTTAGAGTTGTGAGGGAGGTCGTATACATGTGTCCACCCACATTTAGCGTGACTGGATCAGTCATCTAGAAAGAGAGAAATTGCAGAGTTTATCAAGCCCCAACAAGAAGATTCGATCACCTCTCTGACACACATGGCAAATACTGCTGGAAAATGGGGGAATCACACTTCTCCCGCTGAACGCCCCTAAGGGCTGTTCAAACCTGAGCAAATCCAAGCCACCTAGCAACAAGGCACAGCTGGCAACTAGACAGGATGATACTTAGCATGCAGAATGCGCATTTCCAGAATGCTTTAGAAATCTTAACAACTGAGCTACTGTCACAGGAGCAAGTTTAGCATTTGGGCAGCAAGCTTTTTCCTATTCTACAGATGGGGAAATGAGAACAGAGAAATTTCCTGAAGAACAAGTTAGTCAGAATGAGGCCCAGCAACGTTCCTTACTTTCACAATCTCTCATTCTAGAACAAAACCAAAACCAAATAAAAAGGAAAGAAAAAAATCAGCCAAACAAATGTTAAGCCTCTTTTTATCCCTCAAAAGAGGAAGACAATGCAAGTTTAAACACAGGACCAAGAGCTCGAAATCAAAATAATCCATTGCTTTGGCTCAGAGGCTTCATTAAACGGGCAAGAGAAAGAAAGTACTTTCAGCTTTTAACTCTAAAAAGAAATATTTATTAACAAATTTGCGTGCTGCACAGAAGTGGGGGGGCAGAGCACAAACCAGTCTGCATCAGATTCCAGATAGCACATGAGGAAGCAAGAGAGAAAGGAACATAAATTCCATCTGGCCACCAAGTCTAACAACCAGGACTGCAGCCAGCCAGAGAAAAGAGACATATGCATGGCAGCAGAATGAGAAGGGGAGAAAAATAAGATGTGCCTGTCTAGTTAGATACAAGGTTTACATGGAAAAATACTTTTCTCGATAAATAAAATGACAAAGTCCTTAAAATGATAAGTAGAAATCACAAACTATTTTCGGCCTTTGTGTTAAGAAAACAGTAACAGTGAGCTCAAGGCATCAGTTCAGTCCTGGCTGATTGTCCCTAGGAAATGTGAACCCGGGCACCCCTCACAAGCTGCACAGGAGATGCAGCTCTCCAGGGAAGGTAAGCTGTTGTAAAGCTGTTTTAACAGGCATAGTTTTCCCTCTCTCATGACTGAAGCTCTGGATCTACAGAAGGCAGATCTGGAAGGATTCTTGCTGCAAGACCTTGGAAGCCCCAGATGTAGTGCACAGTGCACACCTGCACTCACCATATATCCCCAGTCTCCATTATCCATCTGTTCAAGTGCTTGAACTGTGGTATTCCAAGTTTAACAGAAGGCTGCTGAAAGGATACACAATTCCCCTCTTCTTATCTCTCTGCAGGAAAAAGCACACACAAATACAGAACAAAACATGGCAGACCATCAGTACCTACAAGAACACCAAGGGGAATGCTTTCCAATCAAAGGCAGGCTCTCTGCCAGGAAAGCATTCAGCTACAAAGTCACATTAGCAGGATAATCTGCAAATCCACTTTCCCCTCCTTCTCCCATCACATTACCCACAGGACTGTCTCTGGAGCACACATAACCACTCCACCAGTTGCCTGAACACCCCAGTTTTCTTGAATAACAAGCAATGTGCCTCTGAGGGTAATACATGTTTGTAAGCAACCTTTCACCTGGGAAACTGAGTACTTTAAAAGACAGATGTCGTTTTCCCCAATTAAAAAAGTTTATTTAACAACCTCTGAGGTCATACCATGTGATCCATTAATATTAGTCAACATTCCCATGCTCCAGTTTCAAACTGCACAGAAGAGTAAATCAAGCATGAAAGTCAATGAACACTAAGAAGAAAAAAACTCTCACTGAAGAATTAATAATTCAGTAGTGGAGAACAGCAACTGATAGCAAGGACATTAATCTACAGACAAAGAGTATGAATGGACTTCCCAGACACCTACTCTCAAAAGCAATCTCTGCAGGGACAAGACAGAGGACATCTAACATGTTGTCAACACACTCCAACAAAAGCAACTTGAGTAGAGATTCATGCTGTGACTTCCCAGAAGATGCTGAACTGTTGACTTGCATAACAAGGGGACTGTACGGCAAACCCACTGCTGGGCTGTGCAACTCGGGGAAGGGGGAAGTGAATGACCTCAGACACCAGTGTTGATTTGTGAAAGGTGGCCTGTCAACCATGGCAAGCGATGGAAGGACAGGAAAGCCAGTTGTCAGTAAACCTTTATCCCTACCCAGAGCCTGCCTCTCTGCTAGAATTGCTGAAAATTTAGGTCAGCCTGTTTTAAGTAGGGTAGAGCTTCTCAGCTTTGTTTATTTTTACATCTTAAAAGACCACACAGTTCCCAAGACTTCTGGTCCCATCCTCTTTACTAATAAACTTCAACATACAGTCACCCAGCTAAAGGCAGCACTAAGATTTAGCCAAGCCAGAGCCCCACATTCCAAAACGACTGAATGTTTACAGTTAATTCCCAACCAAAAAAGATAACTTGCCCTTCTCATTCCTAGGAAATAAGGTTGATTTCATTCACCACAGAACAAGGCAGCACATCCCATCTCTCTGTGCCCTGCTGCCCTGCCCAAATCCACAGCCTGGACAAAAGAGAGTCCAGCAGGTCAGGTCTTTGGGACCCAGGAGCACAAGCACAGCCCCAGCTGCATCTCAGGAAGATTAAAGAGTACAAAAAACAAAATCAATGTATGAAAATAGTGAGGTCAGACAACAGAAGACTAAGGAATACTAAGATACAGAACAAGTCATACCAGGATCCTATTTTTACAAATTAGAGACACAGCATGCCTCAAGAGAGTACATTAAAGCACATCCCCCGACAGCAGATAAACCTGGAACACCAACTCTTTTTCCAACCTCTGTAATTATTTTTTTCTAACTGCTGACAAATCAAGGAGTGAATTCTTTCAGGGTTTTGTTGCTTGTTTTGTTTTGGGGAGTTTTTGGGGTTTTTTTTGAATTGGGTTTTTTTGGTTGGTTGGTTTTTTGGCTTTTTTTGGAATTGTCACTCAAGTACAGTTTGTAAACTTTCAGCAATGCCTTTTAAATTCCAGCACTTGAAGGTGTTATTCTGATCAAGTACAAGAAGAGGATAACATGCAGATGCATTAAAAGCATATGAGACTGGTACGGGTTTCTGATATTCACTTGAAAGTAAAATGATGCAGCCAGCCAGAAACCTCGCCAGCAATCATGACTGCAGTCTTAATAAAATTAACTCAAATTACACATCCAGAGTATTTCAAAGACAGAGATGTCCATCAGCATTATTTTAACTGGTGAATATGTTACTTTGGTCAGCATGTAAGTCCAGTACAGATGAATCAAGATTTCATGAGGGAAAGAAAGAGATGACACTGCAAGCCTGTGCAAGGGCATGATTTAATCCTTGATCACAGCACTCCTGTGTAACACCAGAATGAATAATTTACCGGAGCAATTATCTGAAATAAACCTAGCCCTCAAAAGAGAAGGGGCATGGAGAAATCTTTGTGACCTTTGTGTAAGGACCCAGAACCACAAGGCACACACAGACCTCCCTGGCACACCAGTGCTGGAGCCAGATGTGCCACATGAAAGGATGATACCAGGAGGCCATCCTAAAATGCCCGAGTGTGATTCCAACTATTTGCTACTTCCCTCATCAGCCTGGGAGCTCTGAATTTCTAGACAACTTCACAGGTGAAAGTAGCTTAGTTTGGGTACAACCTGAGCTAAGGACTCACCAACAACATCACAGCAAGGGTGAGAATAGACGCCCTTCATGACATGTGCCCTTTCAATGATGCTTTAAATCCTCCTGAACGGAACACAGTGATCATCAATGGGGGTGGGCAGACACTCCATCCATCCCCCAGCATTGGCAGCCTCAAGCCAGCTCTGTCCTTGTGCCACACACCAATGGACAGCACGCAGGGACAGGCTGGCCAACACAGCTACTCCTGTCCACACAGCAAATTACAGACGACACACAGTCATATCCCAAGGCAGCCTATGTTTGATAACCACAAAAAATATTTAAAGTGAAATTCAGTCAGACAAATTGCTGACCCAGTTAAGCCAAATGGGATATCCCACTCTGGTGGAAGCAGAAGTGCATGGATGGTGTCAAACCACAGTCCTGCTGCCGTGACACTGCTCTGCAGGCAGGGAGAGGACACACAGCAGTGACACAGTCACTGGGGCTCCTGCCACAGCCCAGCACAGCCAGAACTAGAATGGGAAGCAGGAAAAGCACTCAAGTCATCACTTTATACTCGACACACCAAACTGGATACCTGCATTTATAAAACGCTCACTCTTATTTCATATGTTATGACTCAGAGGATTACAAGGCTGTTTATCAGCAACACTGCTGCAACAGGTAGTGCCACTAACTCCAGCAGGGCTTCTCCCAGAACAGAGCTGCAAACCAGTTTGCAAGCTGAAATTAAAAGAAAGCATTTAAGAGTCAGATGAACGTCTGTATCTGTGAAAACATACACACAGGCTCAGGCCAGACCAGGGGATGCCAGCAGCACTACCAGGCATTTGCACTGCTGGGACTACAGGCTACCACCACTCCTGAAGAGACCCCTGCCACGGTGTAACACACAGTTACACAAAGGAGGAGCAGAAATGCACCCAGCCATTGTAAGACAAGAGGCACAGACCACCATTTGCTCTGATTTGCTCTGAACATTCTTCATCTAGCTTTTCAAAGAAAAGAATTAAAGGATTTACTTGTGGCAATAGTCTTTCATGGGCAGCTTGGTATCAATAGTACAACATGGGATATTTAACCTCAAAAATTACCTTTGATTCCTATGTCAATAGAGAGATGGAAGGAATTCTAGCAGCAGCAACTTAAAAATGAAAAAGAGCAAGGTAAGACTCTGACATACACTTGGCATTTCAGCTACTCACCCCCTTTGCAAGCTCCCTGGCTCTCACACTTAGACCTCACAAGATGAGAAGAAACTCCATCCCCCAGCACAGTTATGCTGTACAGGGACAACCGCTCTCTTTCCCAGACAGTCAGAACATCTGAAAGGCAAGTTCTTACTCTAAGTTATTGGTGACTCACCTGAACTGACAAACACTGAGCAGCACCAGTGCTGACTGTTCTCCACCAAACTACAGTGCGCTGATGGTCTGCAGAGCAGCCCCTGAGTTCCAGCCCTGTGCCACTATAATTAGGGGAGTGAGGAGGAGAAACATTCTCAAAACAACCAGTTACCAAATCTTCTGTCAATTCAGCAGATCAGCTTCACTAAAGAAAGCACCTACCATTTTCAACACATATCATATTTATCATGACTAATGCAGTTTATCAGAAGTTAACTTAGTTCTTGCTTTTCTTGAGTTGTTTTTTACTAATAGTCTTTACATGAAGCAGGACAGAAAGACACATTTTCATTCCTTTGTGTTTAATTGCTTCACTATAAATTCTGAACTCCTAAAGTTTCCATCCTCCCCCAAAGAGTTCTACCATATCCTGTTTTAAGTCCCAATTCCAAACCTTTATTTCAATTGCTTCTTATTGGAACAGCCCACATCTCAGTACGACTTTGGCCCTCCTATGAGAGACCCAAAGAAGGACTCTAATATCCAGCTTAGTCTCACGGAAGCAACCCAGGGCACTTAGGCTTCTATGACCTGTGATAATAATTGGGGTTTATCCATGTACTTTGCTTCTGTGATATTAACCAGTCTTTTTCCAACGAGGAAATACATCTCTGAACAGTTCTGGTGGTGGGCAAGTGTCAGAGACACCGAGCCTCCCTGCGCACACTGATGGGGCTTAGCACACACGGACCAAGGAGTGACAGCAACATGGGACAGAAATCCCCCCTGAAAGTGGGGTCCAGGGCTTCAGCAGGAGCCGGGAAGTGCCCGTTTCCATCCCAGAAAAATCCAACGAGATCGTGGTAAAAGAACTAGATCGTAGTAAAAGAACTCTCCCCCGGACCAGTGATTCAGCAAAGATGCTGGGAATGAAGTCGTTTTGCCTCTCTCCCCGCAAGTGACCCAAGAGTCCACGGCGTCACTCCCACCCCAAAACAGAGTCTCAGCTCTGCCTCCTCTCCCCGTGGGGCAGCAGAACCGGCTCCCCTCCGTGCCCGGAGCAAAGCCCACGAGTCCCAGACCCTGCCTGCCACAAATCGCCGGGCACCGCGGCTCCCACCCGGGCATCCCCACCGCGCCCTCCCCGCGCCCGACCGGGACCAGGACCCCCGTAACACCTGTCCCTTCCCCACCCGAACTCGTCGCCCCCGCTCGCTGTGCCCGGTCCGGAACGGCCCCGGGAGCCCGGCCCGGCACCTGCCCCGCTCCGCGCCCGTCCCGCCGTGACGCGCTCCCCTCTGCGGCTGCGGCCCCTGCCCCGCACGGCGCCCCCGAGCCGGGGCAGCCCCGGGGGCTCGGCCCCGCGCCCCCCGCCCGGCCCGGCACTCACGGGCGCAGCTCTCGGCGCTGAGGCGGAGCCCGGCAGCAGCAGCGGCGGGGACCGTGCCCGAGCCCGGAGCGGAGCCGGCGGCGCGGGCGGGGACGGCGCGGGGGAGTGTCCTGGCGAGCCCCGCCCCGGCCGTCGGGAACGGGGCGGAGCGGACGGGCGCGGCAGGGACGCGCGTTCCCGTCGCCCTCGGGACCGCCCGGCTGTGCCGGCCCGTCCCGAAGGGCGCGTCCCCGCGGGGCTGCGCGGGCCCGGCCGGGGCAACGGGCGGGACGCTCGGGCGCGCGCCACGCGCGGCCCCGCGGGGGCGCCCGCACGGCTCCGGTGCCGGAAGTGGCGCGATAAGGCCGCGCGCTTCTCGCCACCACCCGCGCGCCGCGGACGCTCTCGCGAGAGCGGGGGAGGCGGGGCCAGGTGGCCGCAGGGCGGAGAGGACACGGGCAAGATGGCGGCGGCTGCGGCGGCTCTGCGGCACCTGGCGCTGGGCGCCCGCCTCGCCCCGCACGGCCGCAACGCCGGGGCCCCGCTCCAGCGGCTCCAGCAGCGCAGGGGCTTCCGCCTCTCCGCGCCCGCCGCCATACAGGTAGCGGGGAGGGTCCGGCCCCGGGGCGGGCGGGCGGTGAGGTGACCGGTCTGAGGTGACTCCCGGCGTGTGGGAGCGCGCCCCCGCCCAGCCCGCCTGCCGCTGTCTCGCAGGTGACGGTGCGGGACGCGCTGAACCAGGCGCTGGATGAGGAGCTGGAGAGGGACGAGCGCGTCTTCCTGCTGGGCGAGGAGGTGGCACAGTACGACGGTGCCTACAAGGTATGTGGGAGACGTTAGCGGCCCGGGAAAAGGCTCCAGGCGGGCCCTGACTCCTTTCTCCTGCCCTGCAGATCTCCAGAGGTCTCTGGAAGAAGTACGGGGACAAAAGGGTTATCGACACCCCGATATCCGAGGTAAGGCTGCCCTGTCTCCTACCCTGGTGATCCCTCCATCGGCTGCTCCTTGGTTACCTGGTCCTTATCCCTTGGTTTCCTTGTCTTTCAGATGGGCTTTGCAGGAATCGCTGTCGGTGCTGCTATGGTTTGTACATTTTCATTCCTCTTCTGGTTTTTAAAATTAAACTATTTTTATGTAAAAAAACATGTTTCGTATTTTTATGTGAAGAATCTCTTTTGATACATTTAACAGGCAGGGTTGAGACCAGTGTGTGAATTCATGACATTCAACTTCTCCATGCAAGCAATCGATCAGGTTATCAACTCTGCTGCCAAGACCTGTTACATGTCTGCAGGATCCATCGCTGTTCCCATCGTCTTCCGAGGCCCCAACGGAGCATCAGCCGGCGTCGCTGCCCAGCACTCCCAGTGCTTTGCAGCCTGGTATGGGCACTGCCCCGGCCTCAAAGTCGTCAGTCCTTGGAGCTCAGAAGATGCCAAAGGGCTGCTGAAAGCAGCAATCCGGGATGATAATCCAGGTGAGCACAAGCAGGTCATAAATACCTGGCACTTGATCCTGAGTAATGTCTTGTTTTCCCCACAAAAACAAAGACTGGTTAAACCCTAAAGCACTCAAGGTTGATTTACTGCAGTTTTAGGGAACGTAAAAAGACACAGAGAGACTCATGCTTTCACTAACAGTAGATTGATTTTGACTGACTTTCTGCTGCTGCCAGGTGTTAGTTTGGTATCAATCAGGAAACCTGGAAGCATTTATAAGTCTGTCATAAAGGGATTAAAAAGGGTGAAGATGAGTTAGGAGGAGTTCCTGCATATATAGCGCCTATGTAACTCAATTTTACAGATAATGAAATTCAAATTATAAATTCAAAATATCCTTATTCAAGAGCAGGGCTACCTTTATTTTCCACAAAGAGTAATTAAAAATATTAAACCTTTCTAAAACTTGTGATTGTACTGTCATGTACTGAAAGTAAAATACCTGACCTCATTTCAGAGTGGTTGGAGAAGTTTTTTAAATAATTCATTATTGAAGTAAAGACTTAAATTTGCTTTTTTTAAAATTCCTTCTGCAGACATAGTCCTCATTGCCTTGCTGCCTGGATGGGTTTACTGTCTTGAGCTGCAGGACCATTAATGGTCAGTGCTGGCCTGTGCCTGCAGATGTCCATGCTAATCCAAGTATGTTTCCTTGTAGTTGTGATGCTGGAAAGTGAATTACTGTATGGTGTTCCCTTTGAAATGTCTGAACAGGCACAGTCAAAGGAATTTGTTATTCCCATTGGAAAAGCTAAAATAGAAAGGCAAGGTAAGCTGAGAATGCATTTGCTTCCTTTTTAATTCACATGCTTGGAGACTTTTCTTAACCTCTCCGCTATTCAGGGTACTGCTGTCATGGGGCACAGAAAAGTATTTCAGATGTTAAGTGTTCAAATGCTTCTTTATTCAGTAGTGTGGTTTCATGTTCTGTTGCCCTTACAAGGAAATATCATCTGCTTGTCCATATCTCAGTTTAAATGATAACCCTTCTAAATCCTTCTAAAAGATTCCATAAAGGATTTGTTCTGTAGTATTGAGATTGGCTGACACCATGTTTTCCTCACCTAAGTATGTAATTTTGGTCAAAAATGCAAAAAGAGATCACTGTAGTGTTTCAGCCCACTTGTTCATAATTTACCTCTGAATTATATGGATGTTTGAATAGGATAATCTGAAAACTATATGAAATACCTCTTCAGTTCCCT